GGCCCCGGGAGCAGCGGCCGCTGCAGGACGGGCTGGACGCTGCGGGCTCCCCTTCCCCCCGGGGGTCTGCCCCCTGCCAGCACGTCGGGCAGTTTCACTGGCACCTTCCTGGGCCCTGCTGGTCCGCCCCAAGCGGAGGCCTGCCATGGCGCTGCACACCTGTGTCCCAGCCGAGGTCTACCACGGCATTGCACACCTGTGTCCTAGCCTAGGAATGCCACTGCACTGCACACCTGTATCCAAACAGAGAGATACCACTGCAGTACACTGCACACCTGTGCCCCAGCTGAGGTATGCCGCTGCACTGCACTCCTACATCCCAGCTGAGGTACACGACTGCACTACACACCACTCGTATCCCAGCCGAGGTATACCACTGCACTGCACACCATCATCCAAGTCAAGGCATACCACTGTACCGTGTATAGCCAAGCTTAGGCTTACCACTGCATTGCACACTGGTATCTGAGACAAGGTATGCCACTGTGCTGTATACATCCAAGCCGAAGTATACCACTGTACTGTATGTATCCGAACTGAGGTATACTACTGCACTGCACTCCAGTATCCAAGACGGGGTGAACTATTGTGCTGTATATATCTAAGCCAAGGTATATCACTGCACAGCACCTATGCAAGCCGAGGTCTACCAGGACACTGCATACCAGCATCCAAGCCGAGGTCTACCATTGCGCTGCCCGCCTCTGTCCCAGCTGGGGTGTACCGCTGCACTGCACACATCAAGCCAGGGGCTACCGCTGCTCTGCATGCGAGTATCCAAGCCGAGGTCTCGCCCTGCAATGCCCGCACCCGCGGAGGTACCGCATGCAGGGGGCGTGACTGCGGGGGCCGGGGGCGGGCCGGGGCTCCCGCATCCCCCGGGGCCGGGGCCTGGGCGCGCACTGTGCACGCTCATCCTCCGCTGCTCCCGCCGGGGCCCCTCGGAGGAGCTCCAGCACCGGGAGGCAGCGACTGCTCTGGGCTGGACCCGGCGGAGCGGGGCAGGGCTGGGGGCAGGTGCGACGGCAATCTGTTCCCGCCCGGCGGTGTCGGGGGGAGCAGGGCATCGCAGCCCGGCGGGGGGAGAGCCCGACCCTCGAGGACCGCAGGCAGGATCCCGGCCATGTGCTGCACTGAGTTGCACCGGATTTGATCGCATTCCCCAGCCTGCTGCAAAGCCAGAGCAACCAGGGGCTTATTTGCCCTCCTCCAGTTTGTTAGAGCAATGATCTCAGCCCCCAGTGATCCAGGTCGTGTTTGTCCATCTCCCAGCAGGGACTTGCCACGGGAGAGTTGTCCCTTCGGGGCGCCACCCTCCCAGCACAGGGTTTTCAGTAGCCCATGAGGCCAACTGCTGGGGACAGTCCGAAATACCCGTGTCACGTCAGGAAGGGCCAGTGCAGCTGCCCACTGGGGCTTGGAGACTGGCTGATTTCCAGGGACTCAGAGGTGACACGGTTGGAAGAAGAGAGACCACACAAACAGCTCCCCAAGCTGCAGAGATGAGTGCCTTGGTGTAACAATTAGCAGACCTATAGGAAATTGTATGGGGGAGCAGAGGAAGCCTTCCCCAGCTGGAAAGGTGGTGAGCACAAAGCCAGGGAGCAGAGGTTTTTGGATGGGAGGACGTGGAAGGCAAAAAGTCCCTGGCTTTCCATCCTATAAAGAAAAAATTTCCCTTATTCTCCTGATTCAAAGTGATCTCCAGTGAGGTCAGGAGGAGACGGGGGATGCCAAGGGATGCAGGGTGCTGGCCCAGATCCCCCTGAGAACTGCAAGGTGCCCTGTCGTGAAAAACTTAGTGAGTCAGGAGATTCTGGCCTCGCTTACAGCTTTCTGTACCTCCAGTCATCTCTGAGCTAAACCGGAGAGGACCTCATTTCCTGCTCAGTGCTCTGCCAACCACAAGGTCTTTTAATAAGGCTGCCAGGGGTGCATGGCTGCGGGAAGGACAGTCAGTGTTTATCACCAGGGAATGAGTTGGCATCATAGTTCCAATCTGAGTCACCAGCCTGGCTAGGTCGGAGCATGACTTCATAAATCATGCTATCTAATTGAGAGACACATGTTTATATGTACAGTGCTAGTCAAAAGAATGCAATAAAAATAAAATGTAACAAACACTAGCGTCCTTTCTTCTCCCCAGCCAGTTAATCAGTTGCTCCATTGTTTCAGCTTGCAGGCACGTCGCACAAAATAAGACCCAAACCAAAATGAAACCACCGCGCACCTCTGCAACAAAAAATACAATCCATACGTTTCGTCACTCCCCTTGGTCATTTCTATAACAAATCCTCTCAGGCAAGGAATCCTGAGGTGTTTGTATTTTTTTTAATTATGAATTAAAAAAATTACCCCATGCTATAAAATTGTTAAATGTGTTTTTATGGTATTCTAGGTGTGACTATTTTCAATAGCAGTTGAATTAGGTTCTGAAAGAAAAGGGGATATGTTGAAAGCAAGCTTTTAAAATTCTTGCCTTAATTTTTATGTCGCCTGCCTATCTGCTGCTGCTTCTTTTTTTTAATCCAGTGCGGATAAAAAATGGAATTGGGACAAAAGATATTCTAGTTTATTGTATAACTCGTGCTTTTCAGACACAAATCTCCTTCCTTTTTCACCCCTAGAGTCCAAAGGATATCCCGGCGTTGAAGAAACCTCTTCAGCTTTACACCCAGTGCCTTATCACCATCAGAAGTGGAAGAAGAACCTTAAATGAATGCATAACAGCGGTTAAGCAACAATTTGAATATTCATATTTTACTCTTCAAACAACAGCAACAAAAGATACTTCAAAACCATGTGCGAGACAAAACAACATTAAACTTGCAATCATTAAACCTCTGTTTAACCCTACTCCAGAAACGAGTCGTTCATAACAAACTAGGAATTTTGATTGACAGCTTGCCACTAGAAGCCTTTAAGTAGGATTTTTTTCTCCCCCTCTGAGATATGTGTGCCATTTTTTACTCCCTTGTGTACACGATTCTGTGTCCGGTATTGAAGTTTAAAACCCATTTACGTGTAAGCTTCATGGATAATGTGATACTGTTGAGACAACTGAATAACATCACTGTTTTTTCTTGTTCAGTGTTTTATAAATAACGAACACACTTTGTTTTTCTGCTGCCCCTGGCATACCCTAGTTAAACCCATTCCCCACCCCCCCATATTTTGCTAATGGGTAAATGTTAATTGTGACATGATTAGTGTGGAAGGTGCTTTAAAGACATACCAGTAACAAGGTCTGACCAGAACTCTTACCTTTCCCAAGTAACATTTCATTATAAGTTAAACAGATTACATGTTTTCTACATAACAAGGAAGCAATGCATTGTCTAATATTTTCAAAACCTACTGGTCCAAGCAAATCTAGCTACCTCCACTCTTCCCCATCCCCCTCAGTTTGTAGAACAGGAAGAAATATTGGTATTTTGTGGACAGATATAGAAAAAAACCCAACAAATGTCATTCTTCCCCACAAAAACCCTTGATGCATCACTTTTGACCACTGACAGCTGCTTAAAAAAATGCCATTTACTCAACATGTCGAACATTACTTGCATACCAGTTCAAACTTTTTTTTTTTTTTTTTTAGCTTGACTGCCTTCTTGACGGTAGGGTTTGAATAAAATAGTTAATGCTGGAGTGGTCCAAGTAAGAAGCAAACAATTAAAACATTTATGTGTTTGATTCTTGATAGGCATCTCTGCAAGGTAGGTTTTAACATTTTTTTTCTTCTTAATTTTTTTTTTTTTCAGTAAGAAGGATAAGCTTGGAGTGCCCAGTCACCGTGGTAACTGCCAGAAAAATTCTCCTGAAGTTTGAAGAGGTCAGCAAACAGGGTCAACAACTCTGGCCTCTTTCCGAGATGGGCCTGGCAGGCCCCATCCTGCAGTTGGAGTGCTAGGCTGGGCCTAGCCCTGGGAGGTGGGCTATTCCAGCTCTGATATAAATTTTTTGAGTCAGTTCACGGCCTGGACTCTCCAGGTGGCCTCCAAAATCGATTGTGACCTCCTGACCTTGTCTAACGGAGGCATAGCATCCAACCTAAGTAAGGATTTAGCCAGGACTGACAGCTTTCCGCTGAGTGTTATTGGGGACAGTACAAACAGTTTTGGAAGCAAAGAGGTAGGTATGAGGAGTAGAGGTCATTAAAAGCATATTATAAAACAATTTTTTACAAAAAAAAAAATCCTTGTCGAAGGAAAGTTTTTATTAGCACTAATCACTTCTATAAACCTCTTCAGCGAGGGGTATTTCTCCCTCCCTGGTGCTACTTGCATGAATTATTCTGCATGTTAACACATTGAAACGGGCTCTTTTTAATATTTCAGATCTTAAGTAATATTTCCTCTGCATCTGGATATCCAGCATGTAACTAAGACGGACTGGTAGCCAAATAGATGCTTTCTATCCAGTCTGGATATCTTCTTAGCGTGGCAAAAACAGCAAGTTGTTTACTGAAGGAAGTGACTTATTTCATAGGCGCAGCATTCTTTAAATTCAAAATCATCTTAATAGACGTAATTTTTTATTTAAACAAGGAAATTAAGTAACATGCAAAACGAGTGTGGAATGAAGGTATACTGGTTTCACAGGCTAAGTCCACTGCTGATTTGTAAAACAAATAGCAAAGCTGCAAATTTGGTTACATATGATAGAGGATCATTCTAGCCAGTCTAGGATCATATCTACACAGAAGAAGTACATTTTGTAGGATCATATCTACACAGAAGAAATCATTTGTGTAGAGAGTTTAAGCAGCACCGAATATTGCAGAGAGAGGGGGTTGTCTTACTGATGCAGAGGTTTGATATATCACAAAGAATATATTTTTGGGCTTCTCAGGAAGCAGATTTTTGCCCTGGGTTTTATTCTTTTTTATTACCATTCCTGCAAAAGCCCAGTTCTGCTCTCTTACTCATGCGGACAATCCTTGTCCACCTGAGTCAATGTGAAGAAGCAAAGTGCAGGTACCACAATACTGTTGAAGCATATTTTGGAACTTTTATTTGTGACCTGAAAGCTGGTGCGAGGGAAATAAGTTATGTTAGTTCTCGATCCCATTCTTAGGGGGGAAAAAAGTGAATGTACCTCAGCAGTAATGTTTTCCTAAATAGTTCTTGTTATGCTTAGTAACTAAGGGCCAGGCTCTGAGACAGCCTCTGAAGGCACTGGGACTTCTCAAAGAATGAGATGCTGCATAGGCGTAAAAGTGTTGCAGAGGACGGCTCAGTTCTGAAACCTTACTTGCAAAACACAGTGCCGTCTTCTTCAAGTGCTCCTCCTGTCTGCAGCAGGCCAGACTCTGCAGCTTTTGCTCATCCCGAGCAGCACCTTGCTTTGCAAAAAGTCCTATAGAAACAAATGTATTCTTGTGGACTCAAGTCTGCTTAAGAATGACTGCATCTGGCCTAAAGAGGTTGCCTTGTCAAAGGCAAGTGTTAATTTGAGCAAGGGTGGCAGAATTGGAGCTCCAGTCAGTTTGGGTCTGAATCTGCATGTACTGAAGTTGATGGGGAGACAGATAGTGCATTTACTATTAAATACTCACCACTTTTTTTTTTTTTTTTTTTATTAATAGGGCTTTGGTAAAATGTATTCACATGGAAAGGTCCATTGGCTTCAGTGGGACTCCTTGCATGGGTAAGACTGACAAGATCTACCTTGTAGATCTCAGTGAGGACTAGTCCCCCAGCTTGGTTTAGAGAAAAGGCACTTAAATATAAGAATGATGAGTAATCAGAAAAGTCTATTATAGTTCTATTATAAAAGTCTATTCTATTTCTCTTACAGTTTACCATACCTTTACCTCTTTTGTGGCCTGACTGTATGTTTTCCCCGTCCCTCCCAACAGGCACAGGGGCTGCACAATGAGGAATGTAAATATTGCATTGGAACATACAGGGCAAAATCCTTCCAACATTCACACCAGCCTTATCATTAGAAATAGGAGAAAATCACTGGAACAGGGAATAAAGTGGATCTCCGGTTCCTTGCAATGTTACCTCAATTTACAACAGCCTGCAAGTTTGGACATGTCTGTTTTATAAAAAAAAATGCTTGGCTCTTACTCCTCTTCTGGCTGCTCCTCTGTCAGATGGGTGCAGCATTCACAGATGTAAATCACGTGAGGTGCCAGGCTGGGAACAATCCTGCCTGTTCTCTTTTCTCAGGTGGGAATATGCCCACCATGAGGTGGGCGACTCCTTCCAGCCATATTGGAGTAGCAGCAAAGCGGGGAATTGTAACCTCCTTTGGGCCATTCCCTTCACTGAGGTGTGCACTTTAAGGAGTAGTTGGACCCATTAAAATACTTCAATAAACATTTCATGACAACAAGAAGTGGAATTGTACCCACCCACTGGCTGAATGCAGTGTTATAGGATGAGCAACCAAAATCACCAAAGGCTACCAACGGTAGCATAGCCTGTGTTATGGATTATTGGAGAGCTGAATATCCTCTGAGAATCACTAGAGGCAGGTCTCCTGGAGCCTGGAGGATGTGCTCAGGGACGGGTGCCATGTTTCCTTCTCTGCCCTTCCCCAAGCTCCCTTGCTATGAGGTTGGCATGTAGAGGAAGACCATGGTTCTACCTATGGCCAGCTCTTCCCCATCCAATTTTGGTTGATTTGTATCAGGGGAAAGCACTGGTACTGCCCTGTGCAGTGCAGGCTGGCACTTGTGCAGCCAACAGTAGCTATGGGAGGGTCTTCATCCCTCTCCGTCCTCACCTACTGTGTTGCCAGTTATAGGCCTGCTGTTATTTAGTCCCTAGCAAGGAAATCCAGAAGGTCCAAGAGCAGCCTCGCTCGGCCACATTTTGCATCTGTTTCTATCGGTGATTTCACATGCAGTTGACTGATCTCTGTTGTCAAATGTCTACCACCCAGTAACCAGGACTTACAACCTGTCTGAGCTGACGTTGTTGCCCCTGAAACCCTAATTTCTCAATTTCTTGATCCTTTGTGATTTAGCTGTGCATCTTGATGCTGCATTACATTAGTTTACTGCACCGAGCACTGTAAAGGACACGTTACTGCCTGAAATTAGTTGGACGTTTCAGCCTGGCTGTAGATCACATTAGTCACCTTCACTCTAGTGGGAAGTCGAGCTGTTACATAGGCACACTTTCAGATGTAAGGCGCACTGTTACATAGGCACACTTTCAGATGTTCTTCCGCAACACTTCATCCCTTTTATGCAGCAACTCTTAACAACATCCATTATAATATAACACAAATGATGCCACGAACAGGAAAGTATGGAAGTGTGGGTTGTCTTAAACGGATCAAAGTGGTAGTTAACTTGAGGTGAACGGTAGCTCAATTCCAGGATTTTTTTTTATTGCGATTAAGACAGACAATCATTGTTTTCCCTGTTGATTTATCTCCAAGTCAGCCCTCTTCAGAACCCCTTTTCTGGCAATCTCAGCCATGTGTGGGTTTGGCAGGCACTTACAGCTATATTCCACCTTCCCAGCATCGATAACTCTTCTGTGTTGTAACAACACTTCCACACCATGCCACTGGTTGGGACACTGCAATGACTCTTCTTCTAATCTGGAACCATTTGTTTTTGGTTCCACCCGAGAAATAATGATGATATTAAAAAATACTGTTCTGTAGGGGTTAGATCAAAAGTTAGTGCATTTGGAGACATTCTGCCTCTTATTCCCAGTTTCGCCCATGGCCAACAGCTAATTACTCAGTGCCTCAGTTTCCCTGTCTTTGCCACTAGAAGCACAGATGCCACTCTTTAGACAGTGCCTTGA